ATACGCAGCTCAAGGTGGCCTTCTATACACAACTCTCCTTCATAGTTCTAGTCCCATCAGGCCTAGAAGTACTAACAGCTCATTGTTACTAGCGCCGGGTTACTGCACTATCCCATGTGGTACTCCTACACTCCTACACTCTGCCAACATCTTTGTAAATAGCCCTTTTGTAAGTAATCCCTTTCATATTATCAGAATTTGTGTGTGCCACCTGTTAAATGATTGGATCTCTGATTGATACAATCCCCTGGGCAGTGCTCTTGGTACAGCCTACTGTCTATGACTGGGTGGGTATGTGCCAGATATCTATAGGCACTTTTCATATACATATATGAATATATATTGGGGGTAATCAAATTTTTTCCTGTTACTTGATTGCAATTGTCTTTTAGAATTTGATAGTTAAAGATTTATGCAATATTACAAGGGACTATTGGGCTTACAGAAATCATTCATATGGGATTCTTGGTTAGGTCTAGAAATATATGGCCATCAGGCAGGAGCAGTGACTGCTTAATTGCCATAATATGTCTTTCTTTAAAGTTTCAAATTTTTTGGTTGATATTTATTTTTCTATTTTTATCTTGCTTTTAGGTACTGAAATATTATTGAGATTGTTTTGAGTTATACTAGGTCATGGATTTTATTCACTGGTTTCCTTCCTGTTCGCTTGTGACAGATGTAATGGGGTTTTACTTACGGTTCTTCACTTTCTATTAAGCTTTTCGTACTGGTAAAATCTTTATCTGAGTAAAGAGGCCATAACAAAGGAAAACATGTTCTTGTGAAATTAATCGTGTGAAGGTTGAGGTAGGGAGAAAATGGGATACATCTTAAAAACAAATTTAGGTAAACTAATTGAATAAAGATTAGAATGCGGGGTGGATGGGTTGAAAATGAGATATATTGAAAATTAAATAATTAAGTTATTTTGTTTTGGGACACTAAAGACAAAAAGAAGATTACAATTACCTCTGTAAAAGGAGACAAATAATCTGTATCATAAAGAGAAGACAGGAGAAAATGAAGTCTTAAAAAATACAGAGAATTTATTTTATTATTTGCACTGTGGTGATAGATTGATGTAGATACATACACACATATGTAAGGCAAGGGAGTATTAAGAATGGGGGTGGGGTGGGGTGCAATATTGGGATGTAAGGGATATCTGCTGCTTTTGAAATGGAATAGATGGGAGTGGTTGAAAAGCTAGAGAGTGTTAAAACCTAAATATTTTCCATAGATTGACTCATTTAATTGTAGGGCTGCTGTGAGGCAGTCTGTCTGTCTCCAAGGCCCACATACTTAATCTCCACACTGTACTGCCTCTAAATTTGGCATTAAGTGTTTTCACCTAAGTTTGAAAATTAAGTTTATGGCAAAAGCTGCAACATGGACTAATCAAAACCAAATAACTTATACCAAGCCCCTGTTTCACAGCATTTAATGTCAACTGTATAATAACTGTGCTTAGGTAAAATGATTGGCAGCTAAAGTCTGGCCTAGGTTCTGAGTTGGGATGGGAAAGAGGTAGTCTCATGGCTATCAGTGGGCAGCTGCAATTGTCGATGTATAGAAAAGGCTTAGTAGTACCCATATGAAAAGGAAGTTCCAAGGCCAGAGACAAGGAAGTATACAAACACTTATTTTAAAAATATGCAACAACAATCCTGCCATGAGGTTGGCGAGGTAATAATACAAAGTTCCTTTGTTTGGTGTGAAACTTGCTTGCTTATGTAGTCCTTCAGAGCATAGGGGAGTCCTTTGGCCACACTAATGTATTTGAATCCTCTAGGTTGATACAATGCTGTCAAAGGAAAGAGGATGGGCAACAGGTGCAAAACTTCTCATTTTTAGTATAAACTGAAAGTTTTTGGAGATATCCTCTAGAATTATTTCTGTGAAAAACATCTTTTGTGAAAGTACTATGTAGTCAGAATCCTTAGGTAAAAAATAAATAAACAAATAAAAGCTTTCCTGAGTTGTCAGCATTATTGTCTAAAGCTCTTTGATGCAAATTCAGAGTCTAAACTATCACGGGATAGTTTTAATAGTGAGAATACTAACCTCATAGCCTGCAAGCCTGTCACACAGCAGGATCTACAAACCAAATGCAGAGACTCAAATTATTCAGGTTTTTTTCTTGTGTGGAGAAGCAGCTGGCTTTTACAAGCTCATATTTTCACTGGCTATTTTTAAATAGTACTATTACTAAAAATATTTGGTCAAGATTTTTTGAAAAATAAAGTCCATGCAAATATTTTATGACTTAATATAACCATTTTAAGTGATACAAATGGTTATTTTAATGGTTAATAAGTTGGTTTCTATTTATATTTCATAAGTTTCCATAGAGCTATAGCATTTTTAGTTCTCAGTAAGATAGCAGAATGGGTGATCATTTTGCATTATATAAAATAATTCTATAAACTTCATTTCAGCTCAAATTTACGGAAAAAATAAAAGATATACTTCCCCCACACGAGCAATAAGATGCTAAAAACAACTAGCAATAAGATAATTTATAATGGCAACATTATTAATAATGATAATCATTTGATTTCAGTAAACAGCTTCTGGGAAAAGACATCTGAAAGCACTGTATAGAGTTCTTGATTATACCATTCAAAGTAGTAGCTTATTGGAGGGAATATTAGCACATCTATGCTCACCTTAAAACAGTTCTACTCTTGCCAAGTTTCTGAGCACAAAATCATACTCACGTTGTGTTAATGTTATCAGCCTTCATCATAAAAATTGATCTAATTTCCTGTTATGAATCCTTATTTGAATGTTTTTGCATCCTGAAAATATAGTCCTTCAAATAGCCTGCTGTATAATCAGGATTTTTAAAGCAGTGCAAGACATATTAATCATGCCCAAAATATCTCAGTATGGAAGGTGGTGTCTCTCCTGGTTCTAGTAGAAATTTGGTAGGATGTACTAGATTTTCTTTCATTTTATCTTGGTATAAACATTCTCGATACATGCTACAAAATGGATGAACCTTGAAAATACTATGCTAAGTGAAAGAAGCCAGCCACAAAAGACCACATATTATATAATTCCACTTACATGAAATGTCCAGAACAGGGAAATTTATAGAGACAGAAAGTATGTCAGTAGTTGCTTAGGGCTGGTGAGGCTGGGGAGTGGTAGGGAGGATAGGATATGGAGTTTCTTTCTGAGGTGATTTAAATGTCCTAACATTGATTGTGATAATGCTTGCATATATTTGTGAGTATACTAAACAACACTGAATTGTATACTTTTAAATAGCGAATCATATACTATGTGAATTATATCTCAATAAAGCTAAAAATAGCGAGGCAGGGAGCTCATACATAGCATTGGCACATTGCATTCATTCATTCATGTTCTCCTTTCTCCCAGGGCCTGACCAACTAATTCAATTTAATGAAAATCATGTGGCACTTATCATATGCAAAACACTGTGTACCATCATTGCAAGAGATAAAAAATGAAATAGCATCTACCTTTAAGGAGGTTACAATACAGTAGGGGGATGATGATATAATGATAATGATAACAATAATGATGATGATGATGATGGTGATGATGATGATAGGGGGAGGAGGAAAAAGAAGAAATATCATTTATTGAGCATTTACTATGTGCCAGGAACTTTGTTAAATGCTTTAAATGTTATTTTGTCTTATTCTCATAACAATCTTAGAGATAGATACTACTATTTTTCCAATTTTGTATCTGAGGAAATTGAGGCACACAGAGGTGAACTAACTCACTTAGAGTCACATATCAAGAAATGGTACAGAGAGAATTTCTACTTAGTGCTTAGCCAAGAGCTAGTTCTCTTAACAACTAGAGTCCATAAATACACAAAATACATAATACAAGATAGATTAAGGTAAGTGTCATGCAAGAGTCAAGCAAAAGTGATAGAGCCATTTGAAGAAACAACACATCTTGTCTGTAGCTCAAGAAGGACGAGGAAGGTCAGTTCAGTTCTAAAGTACACAGGTATGTTCGAATGTTTGACTATAATTTTCATGAGTCATGAAGTAGCTACAAACCTATATCACAGATTAAATATTTCTTTTTTTGTAAAATAAATATAGTCAAACAGAAAATGACTACAGAGTCACAATGTCAACGGTACAACTAAGATAAACTTATAATACACAAAGGAGCTATTACAAGATATAAAATCAGAACCCCAAATTTTATTCGTTTTCCTTATCTCCAATCTAATTCTTTATCTTCAGCCTGAGATCTTTCATATTCTTCTCTTTTTGCCCGCAATTACATTCCTAATCTAGATTGTATTGATTTTTCCCCTCTCTGGTCTACTTTCTTATTGACTTTCCCACTGCTTCCCTTTCCACAGACAAAGTTAGTTGAATGTTATCGCTAAAGCTGTTCTTTTTATGAATCACATAAAGCAAATAACTAATAACTTTAGTGCTTTTCACATAAAGGATAAATTATTTTGCTTTCAGTCTGGAGGATACACATTAGATGTTCACCTAAATCTATTTAATCTGTTGTCCTCTACATATTTCCATATCACTTTTCTCTACCATATCATCTATACTTACATCTAAAAAATAGCATTCCTCTTCTTTATCAAGTCCCCATGAGTGCTTTTTAAATTTCCTTCCCAAACCCCTTACTGGAAGATTGTTTTGGCTATAATCAGAGGAATAATAAAGTAGTTTTACTTCCAAGACAGTCAGCATTGCTGATAAGCATGAAATATTATGCTAGACCACCCACTTCCTCAGTCATTACATAAAAACCAATGCAAATAAAATAACATTTCCTTCTACAATGGCATAAATGATCACCACCTCTGAATCAATCTGCAGACCACAGGAAGATCTTACAGAAGATAAGTGAGTTACTTTATGTAAATAATGAAACAGACATTCTAGAGTTATATGTTATTTTTCAGATTAGGTAAGGTGATGCTGTGGTAATAAAAAAGACCCCAAATCTCAGTGGCTTAACACATAACAGTTTATTTCTTACTCTCAATGGTTCACTGCAAGTTCATCAGCTTTCCAGGACAGGTCCCATACAAACAGTGACTTAGAGATCCAGGTTGCATCCATCTGGTAGGTACGTCATTTGGAGCACATTGCTTTCAGGTCACCATGGCAGGTAAAGAGAGAGTAGGAGGGTCATGCAGGACATTTTTACTGCTCCATTATCAAAATGACACATCACTTCTGTTTACAATCTCTCTGCTAGAAGTAGTCAAATGGCATTGCCTAACTACAGGGGCTAGGAAGTGAATGGGAGGACACAGATATTTGATAAACTGTTAATGTTTTTGCCACATTCCAAAATAATATGAGCTTTTTTTTCATATTTTAATGAAAAACAATTTCAAAAAGCTCTATATGGATACAAAATATCGCTTAAATATAATAGTTTTTATCAGTATTAGATATATTTTTAGGAAACAGCTAAAGTTATGAAGCTTCAATTCAAGGTGATCTAACATGGCATTACGTTTATAATGTTCTAAGAACCTTACTGAGAGATTCTGGTATTTCGATGGCAAAAATTTGGGGAGCCAATATGTTATTTATCTACTAGATATTTTTTCTATCTTCATAATAATTTTACTTGTGATTCAAGAAAGCCAACATGAAATCAGCTATTTAAAAACAAAATAGCTACTGATTCTCTCATCATGCCAAAATAATTTGTACATATGACATTACAATTAGCACATCCTCTGTAACAGGTGTTTTTTTGAGATATCAATTTATAATTCATATTACTCTGACATGTAAAAATGTAAAAATAAACTTCAACTCATGACAGCATTAGTGGTAAACATGAATCAGCTACAGACAGGAGACACCAAATATTAGTAAAATATGACACAGGAAGATCAATGATGTCATTATCTGCTAAACTCAACTCCTATTTTAATGCTTAAGACAACAAACTTTTAAACAGCATACTTACTAAGATTTTGGCAGTAGTTTATTAACAAGACACATAGCATACTAGAGGTCTGGCACTCAAATTGCTTACAGTAAACCAGCTTCAATATGAAGGCATTAAATATATTTTTTTAAAACCTTCTTGTTACATGCTAAATATTTTGGCAAGTGTGCAATTAAACACAGTAATGAAATTAATATAGTAAGATTAAGAAATTACAAACTTGAAACTTGCATCCTAAGCATAAATCACATAAAAAAAGGATTACTGGTTATATAGAATATCCCTGGATAATCAAAACTTAATAGTATAAAACATGCAAAATATTTCAGAATCTTTATTAATCAAAAAATACCAGGGTCTATTTAAAATGATTCTTCTCCAAAGGGTACCAAAGTTAATTCAAATCAAGTAACACTGTAATGCTAAATATTATTCAGTACTGTTGAAGTGGAGGTAAATTTCATAGAATTGGGGGCTTACTTGTACTGTAAATTGCTGTCTTTCTGTTCACCTGAAGCAGCATACAACAACATCCCAGAATTTCACTAAGTAAGAAAAGAATGGCTGCTGCACTGGCAAAAATAGAATGTGTAAGTATCAAAGGCACACTATTCAGCTAGCCAAAGTCATAGCAAAGTCTTTTTCCCCCACAGCCCTTTCCCCATGTAAACAAAAGTTTATTAAGGAGAAAAGTAAAATAAACTACACTTATCATCAAAAGTAAGGATTTTGAGACATCAATGTTAAAGTCCATGCTTCAAAAATGTCGACTATAGCTGTCTGGATGTTTCTGATTATATTTTAAAGATGTATCCAAATTAGATGCTTTTAACATTAGATACATTTTTTTTGTCAAAATTATTTATTATCTAAAACATTTTACTCTAATTCCAAACATTTTAACTACTAGTATGACAACAGGGTTTTAGCTCTCAGAGGAATGAACCACTGGAAGAAAAAAACACACAAACAAACAAAATCCTACACTTAAGCTGCAGGCAACAATTATGGTCCTTTCTGGCACAGTGGCATTTGACTGGCAACTCTAAGTTCAGGAATAATTCTACTAACACAGGGAAATCCATACGTTTTGGTAAATACGCCTTAACATTCACAGTTGAAGTTTCCTTTAGACCTTGCTTTTTTAAACAGGAAAATCCTGCTTTTATTCTTAATGTTATTCTGACTTGTGACTTGAACCTGACTTCTTTTTCTTCTTCTTACCATGTTTCTTGTGCTGTTTCTTCTTCTTCTTCTTTGCTTTTTCCATTGCTTTCTCTCGCTCTTCACGTCTCCTCTTCTTTTTTGCTTGCACCTCCTCTTCATAATCTGATTCTGATGAGGACTCTGATGATAAAGGTTTATCCTCAGGATAAGTCTTCTTTCTTTTTTTGCTGAGACTTCTAACATACTTTTCTTTCTCTGTTTCATCCTTTGACTTCTTTTTCTTTTTTACAGATTCCTTGCTCTCTGCTTCAGATTCATATGTAGAGCTTTGTGATGAGTTGTGTGAACGATTCTTCTTTTTCTTTCTCTTTTTTCCTTGTTTCTTTTCCTCATGCTCAGAATCTGAAGAACTGCTTGAAGAATCAGAGCTTGATGAAGACGATGAAGACCGACAAGATTTCTTCTTTTTCTTTTTCTTTCTTTCTCTTTTTTTAGATGAACCCTCATTTCCACTTAATAATTTCTCTCTGCTTTCTTCTAGTTCTTTCTTCCAATTCTCGTTCATTTTTTCTTCAAATTCAGCTAATGCCTTGGAGCCTTTCTTTTTATTTTCTAATTGTTTCTTCACTTCTTCCCATGTGGGCCTTGGTCGATTCAGATAATCTTGTATTGTTGGGCCTGCGGATTGAGTTGGGCCCCTCCATCTGGCCATTGCTATAGGATTCATATAGGCCACCCGATTATCCCGCTTCCCCATGGTGCCTGATGGTTCCCAGAGCAGACTCTCAGTTGCTAAGGAGAATAAGGATAGACATCCTCCTTAAATTCTTCATCTGCTGATATACCAAGCGGGTTCCATTCTGTGAGAGAAGCAGATGGAATGATTACAAATCACCTTAAATATAAGACAAAATAAACACATAAGCTTAATTGTTCACTGTCTATCACATAGTACAATAGAAATTTCCAAAATCTTAGACCTTGGGAACAAAGAATATACACATTTAAGGTTCTTGCATATTTTAGACATTGTGGTATGACTATAACATAAACTTAAAGTGTTTTATATACTTCATGTAAGGTTCTGACTATCTAAAACTTTTAATTATTATTTCCTTTTATATTGTATGATACTAACTTTTTTTCTTTCATTCTGCCTTATATGGTATAAAGAGAGAGAGAAATTTCTATAGCTAAATTCTATACCAGGTAGACCTTCTCCAACTTAGGAAAGTGCAGCACAATCCCCTCTATCTAGGAGTCATACCTGAAAAATCCTTCTTCAACTCTCACATCCAATCCATTACTAAATCCTACTGTTTAAACCTCCACAATAGGTCTCATATCCATTCACTTTTCTCCAAATATACTGTCATCAACTTAGTGCAGGCACTATCATCTCTCCCTTGACTATTAATCTCTAGTATTTATTAAGTATTTATTATAAGCCAGGGACTGCTCAGTGTTTTGCAATGGATTATCTCATTCAATATCTAGACTAATGTTATGAGGTTGATTCTATTATTATCCCTATTTCACAGATGAAGAAACTAAAGCTTAGAGAATTTGAGTAACTTGCACAAAGTAACAGCTAAAACTGGTAGAACCAGGATTTAAATCAAGGCAGCCTGACTCCAAACCCTGCACAGCTAACACAACACTATATTGCCTCCTTACATCAACCTCTTAATTGATAGCCCTATTTCTACCATTAGTCTCTTCCATTCCAGTCCTACACTGTAATCAGAAGGATCTTAAAATACTCCAGTGGCTCTACGTTATAATGAGAATCAAATCCAAACTCCTATAAAGGTCCTGTTTGATCTGTCCTGCTTATCTCTCTTACTTTCATCTAGAGTCACTCATCCTTTTCCTCAATTCTATCTTCTCCAGTCTTCTCTTGGTTTCTGGAACATGCTAAGCTCCAAGCTTAGCCATCATGGCCAGTTCCATCTCATCTTTCAGGTCTCAGTTTAAATGTGAATTCCTCAGAAAGGCAACTATTAGGTTGAACTATATAAAATTGCCAATTATATAGCACAAAAACAGTCAAATTTCATATGGTTCAACCTTGTATTAAAGTACATTGCTTCTGTATCTACCTTCATACTCACTGTTTTGTATCACAGTTTCTTGTTTCTTTTATTCATAGCACTTAGTAAATTGTTGATTATTTTGTCTGTATTTGATATGTGTGTGTGTTTGTGTGTGTGTATGTGTGTGTATCTGTACCCACTGCTAAATATAAGGCCAAGAAAGGTAAAGGCCATGTTTGATCTGTCTTGTTTACCATGGTGTTTCCAATACCTAAGACAGCATGTGGCCCACACTAAATACTCAAAAAATATTTGCTCAATAATAAACAAACAAATGAATGGATAGATGGATGGATGGATAACTTTGGGAGAGAGGAGCATTCAGAGAAACCTTTTGGAGTTGGTGATATCTGTACAAGATTTTGAATGATAAATAGGAGTTCACACAGGAAACGAAGGACATTCCAGGCAGAAGAAACAATATGTGAAAAAATACAGGAATCTGAAAGAGCACCATGTATTTAATGTTGATGGAGCCTAAAGTGCAAGAGGGCAGTGGCAGGAGGTGAGGCTGCACAGACAAAATAGCCCAATCATACAGGCTCTCTTAGGTCATTTTAAAATCTTGCATATTGTCCTATAGTTGTTAGGAAGCCAACAAAGTCTTTTAAGTGGAAGAGAAAGATGCTCAGACATATGGTAGATTTTTCTGTCAGTCTCCATCTTGACTCTTGACTCTAAGTCAGCCTAACATACCTACCCATCATAAGCTGAATGCCACAGATGTTATAGTGACTCTTGGTGATAGTTTCCTGCATTTGATTTGTTGTGTTCCTGATCTTATTCTCCTTCCCCTTCAGTTTTGTCCAGCTTCTCTTAGGTCTTTCTGTCATTTTCATTCTTACTGCTACTCTAAAGATCTGTCAAATATCATTGTTTCTCTGACTTGATTATCAAAAGCACTTAAGGACCTTAGTTCATATTCAACTGGCTGGTTCTCTCTGCTACTGGACACTTAGAATAGTATAATCCATTAAAATTTCAGTTCCTTGAGACCTAGTTCTGACATCATCTAGAAAGATAGGCAAAGGCCCGTACACAAAGGCTTTGGATGTGATGATAAGGAGGTTGGAATTTATTCTATGGGACTTACAGTGAAGCTAACGGGGAGATATTGACTATTTTAAACAGGAGAGTGATATGGTCATATTTCAGTGTTTAAGAGACAACATTTTTAGAGTGTGAAAGATGAATTGGAGGCACCTAAGACTGAAGGCAATGAGATCATTTAAGTATTCATGTAGAAAAGAAATGAGAGTCTGAACTAAAAACAGTGCCACTGTGAATGAAAAGAGTGGGGAGGATTCTGGGAAGATGTCGGCATAGGAGGACTCTGAACTCACCTCCTTCCATAGACACAACAAATCTACAATTACCTGTGGAACAATTACCTCTGAGAAAGATCTGGAAACTGGATAAAAAGGACCCCCACAACAAGGGACAACACTGACAGGCGTGGAAGAGGCAGAAACATACCTCTGCTGAGGAAAAAATCACACACTAGCTGCAGCACTTCACAGCCAGGAGCAATCTTAAAGGTACGAAGCTTTTCCCAGAGGAGTGGGGGGATCTGAGCAGGAGATCTATGCCACAACAGGCATCTCAACCTTTAGATTCAGCACAACTGAGACAAGTTCCCATAATACCTGGCTTTGCTGGCTTTTAAAACCAATAGGTAATACCCCCAGAAAAGCTATGAAACTTCAGATAAATAATAGCCTGCTCTTAAAGGGCCCATGCACAGATTCGCCCATTCCAGAAACCAACACAAAAACCCCAGAAAGAGAAGTGCATAGTCTTTTGGTAAAAGAGACTCACTTGCTAAGCTCTGGATGCATCTCAGAGGCAGGAGGCAGGTAGGCCCACCTCCCCAGGAACTGAGACACTGGTGGCAGCCATTATTGTGACCTGGTGCAGTCCTGCTGACACAGATGCTGGCAGACACCATTGGATTTCTTCCTCTGGCCTGTTAACACAGGGGTTTGCCCCACCCATTAGAGTATTGATTTAATCCAGTGCAGCCAGTGTAGGTAGCCCACCCTAGGAACTGGCTCTGCTCACCAGCAACCCCACAGGGAACTGGTGGGCCTGTGTAAGGCAGGGTGCATGGAACCTCTGCAGCAGGGCAAGTGGGTCTGCCCCAGTGGGGCATGCACATGGGGCGGGCCTGTGCTGGCAGGTGTCTGAGCCTGCGGATGGTGGAGTGTGTCAGCCACAGCTGACATGTACCCCTGAAGAACTCAAACAGCCACACAGGGGTATGACACACCTTCTAAGGCCTGAAACTATTGTGTGTTGCAATGCCTGGGGCCGGTCCCACCCATCTGTGCTCCTTAGAGAGCTGACAACAGCCTCACACCACTGAGAGCCTCACTGGAGCCCAGCAGCAACTGTGATCCCATGAGCCTAGCAACCAGCCATGCTGGGGGCCTAACTCACTTAATAGCAAAACAACAGCAGTTGCGTGCTATTAGATCTTGCAGCCAGCTGTGCTGTGGCTCACCCCACCTGATAAAGTGACTAAGGTGACCATAGCAGCCACATGTGGCTGAGCCTTACAACCAGCCAGCCTAGGGACCAGCCTAGCCTATCCATGTGCCTGCAGCAAGAGCAACCCCATCACAACAGAAGGGTACATGTAGCTCACACAGGGGACACTTCTGGAACATCTGGAACAGGTGATGAGAGGAAAGCACATTGCTGGGCTCCATAGGGCATCTCTTACATAAAGCTACATTTCCAAGATTGGGAGACGTAGTTGATCTACCTAATACATAGATATAAGCACAGAGAAATAGGCAAAATGAGGAGACAAAGGAATATGTTCCAAACAAGGGAACAGGACAAATCCTCAGAAAAAGAACTAAATGAAACAGAGATAAACATTTACCTGATAAAGAGTACAAACTAATAGTCATAAGGATGCTCACTAATCTTGGGAGAAGACTAGATAAACACAGCGCAAACTTCAACAAAGAATTGGAAAATATAAAACAGAACCAATCAGAACTGAAGAATACAATAATGGAAATGAAAAATTCACTAGAGGGAATCAACGGCACAGTAGATGACACAGAAGAATGGATCAGTGATCTGCATGAAAGAGTAGAGGAAATCACCCAAGCTGAACAGAAAGAAGAAAAAAGAATTAAAAAGAACAAGGATAGTCTAAGGGACCTCTTGGACAATATCAAGCACACTAACATCCATAGAATAGGTCTTCCAGAAGGAGAAGAGAGAGACAAAGGGGCAGAGAACCTATTTGAAGAAATAATAGCTGTAAACTTCCCTAACCTAAGGAAGGAAACAGATATCCAGGCACAGGAAGCACAGAGAGCACCAAACAAGATGAAGCCAAAGGGCTCACACCAAGATACATTATAATTAAAATGTCAAGAATTAAAGATAAAGTGAGAATCCTAAAAGCTGCAAGAGAAAGACAACAAGTTACATAGAAAGAAAACTCCATAAGGCTATCAGCTGACGTCTCAGCAGAAATCTTACAGGCTAGAAGGGAGTAGTATGATATATTCAAAGTGCTGAAAGGAAAAAACCTACAGCCAAGCATATTCTACCTGGCAAGGTTACCATTCAGAATTGAAGAAAAAATAAAGAGTTTCCCAGACAAGAAAATACTAAAGGAAATTATCACCACTAAATCAGCCCTTACAAGAAATGTTAAAGGGGCTTATCTAAGTGGAAAAGACAAGACGACTAATAGGAATAAGAAAATTATCAAAGGAAAAAAATCACTGGTAA